TTTTAATTAATGTAGAACAAAAGGTCAATGATGCCTGTATCACTCATTTGCTATTACTGAATAAGCTCAATTTTCTTCTACTTAATACTACAGTGGCATGTTGAACCTAAAAAACTGACCTGGTATAAACGAGAAAAATTAAATGAAAGCAATTTATAAGTTAAAATTTGATTAAACCAAGAAATAACAATAGATGAAATGTTTAGAGACTTTTTTTTTTACTAAGCTTGGTTTAAATTGGCCTGTTGGAGGTTTAGAAGTAATGATTTAAGCCAATCAGAGGTCAGGGTGGTTTCAATTCCAAAAGATAATAAAACCCTCTAACCAAATAAATGTTGATCACATTAGATTGATAAACCTTGAGGTTAATCTGTTTCCCTCAATCAGAGGACAAGATAGCCATCTTGGATTTTAATGAATCTTCCTACAAAACAACTTGTTAATTAGGACTGTGACAGGATAATTCATAACCTTTTTTTCTTGAATCAGCAAAATACATCTTACACCCTCAAACAAAAAGTCATGGGGATTTGATGCCTGCTTTCATGGTATTATATAAGTAGTATAATTGTCACTTCTACCATGAAGGTAACATCAGAGGAAACACTGATGGTGTCTACAGTCTATATATATAGTCCCCCCCAACCCCCCCTCCCCCAGGAAATACAGGAAACAAGAACATGTCTGTGACCAATATGAAAAACAGCCAAGGAAAAAAACAATGAGGTGTATATCAAATGTGACAATCTTTAACTGGACAGTACACTGTATTTCGTTACAGGATTGCTCAGCCCCGAGGTGACAATATCACCTGTTAGGGTGAAAGTAACAGAGGGAGGAGGCATGACAGAGAAGTTGATAAATTTCAGCTTAGAAAATTGACTGTGGTTTGCATAGAAAATTAAAGATGAACAGTTTTATTTGATTCATAAAAACTTACAATATTGCATTATTTTCAGAATGATATCCAATTATTATCAAATAGACATCCAAAGATACAGCAAATCATTCAGGTAAAATATTAAAGTGTGGGAGAGTTATCACACCTGTTAAAAGAGTGTGACCACAGTTTTTATAATCTGCAGGATGTGGGTGACTTAACTAGTCTACAGTATACTGCTTTTTGGATCTTCCATGATAATATTTATTCTTCAAATTAGCTGGAACAATATATTGATTATGAAATCAACAAAAGCAAGACTCTGGGGCGGATCCAGGATTTCCTAAAAGAGGGGGCCGATAAATTTTTCTCAATAGTCAATGGTGTGCTGCAAAAGGCAGCAGCCCGAGCGCGTAGCGCGAGGAGGGGGAGGGTACAGACCCCCTCCCCATAAGGGGGGTTTGGGGGATCTCCCCCCAAAAAAATGTGTTTTCTAGAACGTCTCAGAAGCGATTTCCCGTGTTCTGAGTATTGTTTTTATGTTTAATTAACAAGAAGAAAAAAACATATTTTAAGTATGGCCCAAAGACTTTTTTTGTGTACTGGAAAGAAAATTAAAGTTTCGGTTCAAATTCTCTATCAACAGCGTGTTTTAGAAGTCAGATGGTATTATTATAGGGGCAACCTGGTGATGACAAATGTATGAATCCACAGGGGACTTGTTCATTATTACCTAATTTGGCGTCCCGCCCGCAAGGGGGATACGAGAGGTCCACCGTCAAAATATAAATCTAGTCTTCAGACATTGTAAGTTTGTCGTACAAAAGAACAAATAACACCATAACATCGTTGCTGTTTAATTAATGAGTTACTCATGGCATCACTAAGTTGCTAAACAAACGGTAAGTTCAAATCAGTGCGACACCCAAGGCCACTAGCTATATACAGGGGCGTTTCTAGGATATTTGAAAGAGGGGGCGTAGAATAAAATCTGTCGCCGAGCGGAGCGAGGCGAAAAAAGTTTTGGACCTTTTTTTTGCTAAAAAACATAAAATAATTGTGAAATGCACTAATGTAACGGTTCCTGACTTGGAGCATGTATATTTTATAGTTGAAGTGTCATGGTTTGACATTTTTTTTATCAGAGTATGTCTTTAATTAATGAATATGATAAATTGCCATATTTAATACAATATTAGCAGATTACGATAAAAAAAATCTTTTTTTTTTGAAAAGGGGGCGTACGCCCATTACGCCCTCACCTGGACCCGCCCCTGATATAGTCTCGCGTTTTATAATTGTTGACTAATTCACTAGTGTAGACAATGATATATCTGAAATGATCACGCTGATTAACTCATGTATTGGCGTGCATATTACCAACGGTGGTACATTTGCTAAGCTATCTGGTCACCTTTAAATTTAATTTAAAATTATCATACTTGTAAGTACAGCATATCATCTCATTCTGGTACGTACAACTTATTACTACGTACACAATAGTATGCTGTGTGAAGATACTTTCTTGTACGTACACGATGATAAGCTATAAGTACCACAATGAGATATTATGTTGTACATACAAGATAGTTAAACAGTTCCAACAATATATATAATACCAAAATAATTGAATGGATATGTTAAGTCGATTATACATAATATTGTCAGTCGAAAAAAACCTTTATCGTTCTTGTATAATGATATGAATAATATCGCCCAGGCGGTTAGGAAGGTTACAATAAAAAGTATTAATTTTCAGATCATCTATAACGAGCGGTCAATAATATAATTATGCAACTTATGCTAGTATATTTCTGCCGAGCGTTGCAAGTTGCAACTTGGGGTTTTGCGAAGGTGGTAAAATAAAAAACACACTTTAGGGTCAAGATACAATTAGGTAGACGAGCGTAGCTATGCCAACAAATATTGTTTTAATAAAGAAAATATAGTAAAAATATCAGATAACGGAAACCCACAATATTTGCTAGGATGCCGTATGGGATGTGTGGGGCGTAGCCCCAGAATATTTTTATACTAGCTCCGTGCATTATTTGATGCATTTCAAAATATTAATATGTTCCCATTCCCAGCCGATCAGACCATTATGGGCCGGCCCGGAAAAGGTCAGTCCGCCGCCAAAAGGGGGGGCCGGGGCCGGGTTTGCCCCCCCCCCCCCCCTAAATCCGCGTCTGAGACTTTATAAACAAGAGACAAATGATTCCTAATTAATCGCCTTGTTTTGCTTGTTTGTTTTATTTGTTTTTTATTTCCACCAAAGCTGCCTATAGGACAAATACCACAATTGCAGGTTACTAGTTTTTAGGAGTTGTTTCATTTTTTCAGCACATTTTGAATCTGTGACCTTGATCATTTATTTAAACAAACTTGATGCTCTTCACTCCAACACTCTGTAGAAGTATGTGAAGTAATCCAGAGCAAATAAATGATCAAAACATCTGCAACCTAGTAAAGTAAATTGGCAATAACAGACAATGGCAACACCCAAAATCACACTGCCAATTAGAACAACGTCAAAATAGTCAAGGGAAACAGCATGCGAAAACAAGAGGAATCAAAGATGCATTGAAAAAATGGAAAACTTTCATCACGACCAGAGACAAGGGGGAGCAGCTGTGGAGAGGGGGCTAGATCTACACCCACTACTGACCTTAAACAAAAGAGTGGGCTATACCTACACCCACTACTGACCTTAAACAAGAGAGGGTGCTATACCTACACCCACTACTTACCTTAAACAAGGGAGGGGCCTAGCTCTACACCCTCTACTGACCTTAAACAAGGGAGGGGCCTAGCTCTACACCCTCTACTGACCTTAAACAAAAGAGGGGGCTATACCTACACCCCCTACTGACCTTAAACAAGATAGAGGGCTAGATCTACACCCACTACTAACCTTAAACAAGAGAGGGGGGTATACCTACACCCACTACTTACCTTAAACAAGGGAGGGGGCGAGATCGACACCCACTACTGACCTCAAACAAGAGAGGGGGCTCGATCTACACCCACTACTGACCCCACACAACCGAGGGGGCTATACCTACGCCCACTACTGACCTTAACCAAGGGAGGGGGCTCGATCTACACCCACTACTGGCCTTAAAAAAGGGAGGGGGCTAGATCTACACCAACTACTTGCCTTAAACAAGGGAAGGGGCTAGATCTACACCAACTACTTGCCTTAAACAAGGGAAGGGGCTAGATCTACACCAACTACTTGCCTTAAACAAGGGAAGGGGCTAGATCTACACCAACTACTTGCCTTAAACAAGGGAAGGGGCTAGATCTACACCAACTACTGGCCTTAAACAAGAGAGCGGGCTAGATCTACACCCTCTACTGACCTTAAACAAAAGAGAGGGCTATAACTACACCCACTACTGACCCCACACAACCGAGGGGGCTATACCTACACCCACTACTGGCCTTAAACAAGAGAGAGGGCTAGATCTACACCCCCTACTGACCTTAAACAAGATAGAGGGCTAGATCTACACCCTCTACTGACCTTAAACAAAAGTGCGGGCTATACCTACACCCTCTACTGACCTTAAACAAAAGAGGGGGCTATACCTACTCCCACTACTGACCTTAACCAAGGGAGGGGGCTCGATCTACACCCACTACTAACCTTAAACAAGAGAGGGCGCTAGATCTACACCCACTTCTGACCTTAAACAAGAGAGCGGGCTAGATCTACACTCACTACTGGCCTTAAACAAGAGAGGGGGGTAGATCTACACTCACTACTGACCTTAACCAAGAGAGGGGGCTAGATCGACACTCACTACTGACCTTAACCAAGGGAGGGGGCTCGATCTACACCCACTACTAACCTTAAACAAGAGAGGGAGCTAGATCTACACCCACTACTGTCCTTAAACAAGGGAGGGGGCTAGATCTACACCCACTACTGGCCTTAAACAAGGGAGGGGGCTAGATCTACACCCACTTCTGACCTTAAACAAGAGAGGGGGCTAGATCTACGACCACTACTGACCTTAAACAAGAGAGGGGGCTAGATCTACACTCACTACTGACCTTAAACAAGGGAGGGGGCTAGATTTACACCCACTTCTGACCCTAAACAAGAGAGGGGGCTAGATGTACGACCACTACTGACCTTAAACAAGAGAGAGGGCTAGATCTACACCCACTGCTGACCTTAAACAAGAGAGAGGGCTAGATCTACACCCACTTCTGACCCTAAACAAGAGAGGGGGCTAAATCTACACCCACTACTGCCCTTAAACAAGAGAGGGGGCTAGATCTACACTCACTACTGACCTTAAACAAGAGAGTGAGCTATACCTACACCCAAGCAGTAACCTATTAGGTACATCAAGCTAGTAACAAAGTTAACACTTTTGTCACATCATTGTACAGAATTGTAAAAATCCCCTACTTAGTTATAGCTTGACAAAGGCACCAGTTGGTCTTCAAACATTGATTGTGTATAAAGCTTTAAAATTTGATATAAAGAGACCTGAACATTTAGGTTCATGTTTCAGACCTTCATGCCATTTAAAAAGTTACAATAAACAATGAAATCACATGACTTATATAATAGACAGCAAATGATAAATATGCAAGATCACACACTTGTGTTTTTCTAACGAATCAGAAAGCACAAGTTTATTGCGCAGACGAATATATTCATGAGTGCACGGAGCCTAATCGTTACAAAGATTTTATAAACTTTGATATTTTTTGCAAATACTGGGAACTTTTCAGTTCGCCATGACAAGAGGATTCCCATAAAAAGTAGTTCTGGCTAGTAGGTAAATACAACATTCCGTATTGCACATGTGCAATACAGAACGTTGTATTTCATGGTCTGAAAATTGCTTGTATTACTATAACAAGATTCAAGAGATATGTGGTAATAAGTTGTATATTACAAAATAACAACCTAAATATAACATATAATAGGATTAAAGAACCTAAATGCTTAACACATCACCATTTCCATTCCAACTAGACTTAAAGTCAGATTTTAAATTACATGAAAACTTCTAGAAGTACGTGGTATGTTGAGTTGGCCAGCCAGGGATGTAAATAACAGCATAGACAGAAAAGTCTTCTTAATGCCATCCAACCTTGTAGCAATTCAAGGTGCGATTAGATTCTAAAAAAAAAAAAAAGTGTATTATCAACTCACTGTTGTGCAGGATGTGTGACAAACTGTACTGCATTGCTTAATACCTTCATTTATCAAAAATGTTTTTGCAGGATGTCTACAAGGAAGCAACGGTTTGAATGGAAGCATGTTTGTAACTTTTATAATCAACAGTTCAGCTTTGTAGAAATTCAACACCAACGGGAAATATAGAGCCTCACTACAGTTTAACCTGCGAGACCTGTGAGATACAGTTTGACCTGTGAGATACAGTTTGACCTGTAAGATACAGTTTAACCTGGGAGATACAGTTTGACCTGCGAGATACAGTTTGACCTGCGAGATACAGTTTGACCTGTAAGATACAGTTTAACCTGTTAGATACAGTTTACCCTGTGAAATACAGTTTAACCTGTGGGATACAGTTTAACCTGTTAGATACAGTTTACCCTGAGAGATACAGTTTGCCCTGTGAGATATAGTTTGACCTGTGAGATATAGTTTGACCTGTGAGATTCAGTTTGACCTGTGAGATATAGTTTGACCTGTGAGATTCAGTTTAACCTTTGAGATACAGTTTGGCCTGTGAGATATAGTTTGACCTGTGAGATCCCGTTTGACCTGTGAGATAAAGTTTGGCCTGTGAGATACAGTTTCACCTGTGAGATACAGTTCAACCTGTGAGATACAGTTGGACCTGTGAGATACGGTTTAACCTGTGAGATACAGGTTGACCTGTGAGATACATTTTAACCTGTGAGATACAATTTGACCTGTGAGATACAGTTTAACCTGTGAGATACCAAATTCTATCAAGTTGATAAAACTGATTCATCACATTTCTGCCAATGGGACACTGAATTCTATCAAGTTCATAAAACCGATATCTTTCACACTGTGAATGATATCAAAAGTGATATTTTCACATTGTGAAATTTTTACGGTACCAGTCAGAACATTATTTTCTGTTCAGACAGAAGGAAGTGATGATAGAATGAGTGGTTGTTTTGTTAAACTTTTGCTACATTTAGGCACTGATAAATCTATACAATTTATACTATCTAAGTATAAAGCATCTTTTACCAAACAATAGCAGAAAGTGGTAGAATTGTGTTGAGTAGCCCATTGCCAAAATGGCACATAGCTTTGGTGTCAAGCATGACGTCATTAGAGTATGGTGCCACAGATTACGGTATTATATCTCTTGACACATGATGTCATTAGAGTATGGTGCCACAGATAATAATAATAATAATAATAATAATAGACTTTATTTAAATTTGATAACACATTGAGTCAATGACTCGTCTCACATGTGGTCGACATAAAATGTACAATATTTACAACAGTATTATATCTCTTGACACATGACGTCATTAGAGTATGGTGCCACAGATAACAGTATTATATCTCTTGGCACATGACGTCATTAGAGTATGGTGCCACAGATTACAGTATTATATCTCTTGACACATGGCGTCATTAGAGTATGGTGCCACAGATTACGGTATTACATCTCTTGAAACATGACGTCATTAGAGTATGGTGCCACAGATTACGGTATGATATCTCTTGACACATTATGTCATTAGAGTATGGAGCCACAGATTACGGTATTATATCTCTTGACACATGATGTCATTAGAGGATGGTGCCACAGATTACAGCATTATATCTCTTGACACATGACGTCATTAGAGTATGGGGCCACAGATTACGGTATAATATCTCTTGACACATTATGTCATTAGAGTATGGAGCCACAGATTACGGTATTATATCTCTTGACACATGACGTCACTAGAGTATGGTGCCACAGATTACAGGATTATATCTCTTGACACATGACGTCATTAGAGTATGGTGCTACAGATTACAGTATTATATCTCTTGACACATGACGTCATTAGAGTATGGTGCCACATATTACGGTATTATATCTCTTGAAACATGACGTCATTAGAGTATGGTGCTACAGATTACAGTATTATATCTCTTGACACATGATGTCATTAGAGTATGGCGCCACAGATTACAGCATTATATCTCTTGGCACATGATGTCAATAGAGTATGGTGCCATAGATTACGGTATTATATCTCTTGACACATGATGTCATTAGAGGATGGTGCCACAGATTACAGCATTATATCTCTTGACACATGATGTCATTAGAGTATGGTGCCACAGATTACAGCATTATATCTCTTGGCACATGATGTCATTAGAGTATGGTGCCATAGATTACGGTATTATATCTCTTGACACATGACGTCATTAGAGTATGGTGCCACAGATTACGGTATAATATCTCTTGACACATTATGTCATTAGAGTATGGTGCCACAGATTACGGTATTATATCTCTTGACACATGATGTCATTAGAGTATGGTGCCACAGATTACAGCATTATATCTCTTGACACATGACGTCATTATAGTATGGTGCCACAGATTAAGGTATTATATCTCTAACTGTTTTGATACAGTATCATTTTCATTGTTGGAGATAGTTTGAAAATGTAATAAGCAGAAAATTTAATGATTTTCCCAATGAGTACCATAACTATTCCACCTGCAGTTTAAGAGCTATAGTTCCTTTTGACTAAAATATACATAATTTACATGTTCCTTTCAAGATGATCACGAGTTAATGTTCAGTTTCAGACCCCTGACAATGACAGAATAGTTAAGAAAGAGTCTTGGAGACTATCAAACCATTTTTAAAAAAAAGGGGGTTCTGCAAATGGAACATTATGTATCTATTTATATGTGCTGTAGGAATTAAACACTAAAGTATAACAGTAGTAGATTCCTGGCACTTGACATTTCACCGCCATGTTTACGTGCTATCATAGATCTTTTAACATGTGAAAACAGTTTCCTATCTGGAAAAGACAAAAACAGTTTTCTACCTGAAAAAGACAAAAACAGTTTCCTACCTGGAAAAGACAAAAACAGTTTCCTCCCTGGAAAAGACAAAAACAGTTTCTTACCTGGAAAAGACAAAAACAGTTTCCTACCTGGAAAAGACAAAAACAGCTTCTTACCTGGAAAAGACAAAAACAGTTTCCTACATGGAAAAAGACAAAAACAGTTCCCTACATGGAAAAAGACAAAAACAGTTTCTTACCTGGAAAAAGACAATCAGTACCGTCTAAACAGGAAACCACCCAATCACAAGCATCTTCAGAGTGTAACCTACAAATATTAGTATAAAATATAAAGATAGGAACATAGTTCATGTTTTCGATTTCTGCTGACATCAGCAAAATAACCTGGCAAGGAATTTTGGGTAATTATAGATACTCAAGCAGTGATTTCATTGATCAATGTCTTGTAAAGTCACTTAGAAAATAAAGAAATGGTTCAATAATTGCAACCTGTACCTAAATCTTACTGCAACTGAGGCTTCATATTCAAGGATCTGCGTTTGTTGGATGGTGCCATATTGGGCTATCAATTCTTCTAAGGTGGATAAATCACACCCTTTTGGTAGACCGTCAAGCTGGACAACATTGCCCTGTGTTATGCTCCAGGGGTTTTCTGATGCTGTTGTGTCACTGGATCCACTGTAGCTGGATTCACTATCACTTGCATACACTGCCTCATCACTTGATGTGGTAGTTCTACATGATGTAGATTTAGATAAAACAGCTTTTTCTGGTGAGGAGTCCCTGGTGCCTGAGGATACTGAGCTACAGGTAACTGAAGCAGAATCTTTGAAAACCAGTGCCAAATCATTGAGATCCTCTAAACTAGGCGATCTGCTGTCAGTTTCTGATATGCTGTGCTCCACATCAGCATGTCTTCGGTTTCGTGCTGTATATGGTGAAGATGCTGATGAGGACAGCGATGGAAAGTCCTCCTCAAATGTTTCCGAACTAGGAGGTGCAAGAGAAGTCACTTGTTTTGACAAAGAAGCAAAAGGGTTTGGTCTTTTGACCGCAAAGTCTGCTTTGTCCACAAATGAACTGTTATTTAGAAATATAGGCTCACGTCTCTGTTGATCAATATAAAAATACTTCAAAATTATATTCATATAAAGTTATGAAGTAAGCACATAGAGCTATCACTGATCATCAAAATATAGGTAGTCAATATCAGCTGACCTTTGACAGGTTGGCATGACTTAAACCTTTAATCATCAAAGTGGTAAACAACATCTTGTCTTGTAGCGACATGTGTAGGAAGTTTTACAATCAACTGGAAGTGTGCTCAAAATAAACCAGGTAAATTGTAAGGACTGAACAACAGATGGACAAAGACCATACCTATGATCCCAGAGTTACACTTACAGTGGACAATATACTAACAGATGGACAAAGACCACACCTATGATCCCAGAGTTACACTTACAGTGGACAATACACTAACAGATGGACAAAGACCACACCTATGATCCCAGAGTTACACTTACAGTGGACAATACACTAACAGATGGACAAAGACCACACCTATGATCCCAGAGTTACACTTACAGTGGACAATACACTAACAGATGGACAAAGACCACACCTATGATCCCAGAGTTACACTTACAGTGGACAATACACTAACAGATGGACAAAGACCACACCTATGATCCCAGAGTTACACTTACAGTGGACAATACACTAACAGATGGACAAAGACCACACCTATGATCCCAGAGTTACACTTACAGTGGACAATACACTAACAGATGGACAAAGACCACACCTATGATCCCAGAGTTACACTTACAGTGGACAATACACTAACAGATGGACAAAGACCACACCTATGATCCCAGAGTTACACTTACAGTGGACAATACACTAACAGATGGACAAAGACCACACCTATGATCCCAGAGTTACACTTACAGTGGACAATACACTAACAGATGGACAAAGACCACACCTATGATCCCAGAGTTACACTTACAGTGGACAATACACTAACAGATGGACAAAGACCACACCTATGATCCCAGAGTTACACTTACAGTGGACAATACACTAACAGATGGACAAAGACCACACCTATGATCCCAGAGTTACACTTACAGTGGACAATACACTAACAGATGGACAAAGACCACACCTATGATCCCAGAGTTACACTTACAGTGGACAATACACTAACAGATGGACAAAGACCACACCTATGATCCCAGAGTTACACTTACAGTGGACAATACACTAACAGATGGACAAAGACCACACCTATGATCCCAGAGTTACACTTACAGTGGACAATACACTAACAGATGGACAAAGACCACACCTATGATCCCAGAGTTACACTTACAGTGGACAATACACTAACAGATGGACAAAGACCACACCTATGATCCCAGAGTTACACTTACAGTGGACAATACACTAACAGATGGACAAAGACCACACCTATGATCCCAGAGTTACACTTACAGTGGACAATACACTAACAGATGGACAAAGACCACACCTATGATCCCAGAGTTACACTTACAGTGGACAATACACTAACAGATGGACAAAGACCACACCTATGATCCCAGAGTTACACTTACAGTGGACAATACACTAACAGATGGACAAAGACCACACCTATGATCCCAGAGTTACACTTACAGTGGACAATACACTAACAGATGGACAAAGACCACACCTATGATCCCAGAGTTACACTTACAGTGGACAATACACTAACAGATGGACAAAGACCACACCTATGATCCCAGAGTTACACTTACAGTGGACAATACACTAACAGATGGACAAAGACCACACCTATGATCCCAGAGTTACACTTACAGTGGACAATACACTAACAGATGGACAAAGACCACACCTATGATCCCAGAGTTACACTTACAGTGGACAATACACTAACAGATGGACAAAGACCACACCTATGATCCCAGAGTTACACTTACAGTGGACAATACACTAACAGATGGACAAAGACCACACCTATGATCCCAGAGTTACACTTACAGTGGACAATACACTAACAGATGGACAAAGACCACACCTATGATCCCAGAGTTACACTTACAGTGGACAATACACTAACAGATGGACAAAGACCACACCTATGATCCCAGAGTTACACTTACAGTGGACAATACACTAACAGATGGACAAAGACCACACCTATGATCCCAGAGTTACACTTACAGTGGACAATACACTAACAGATGGACAAAGACCACACCTATGATCCCAGAGTTACACTTACAGTGGACAATACACTAACAGATGGACAAAGACCACACCTATGATCCCAGAGTTACACTTACAGTGGACAATACACTAACAGATGGACAAAGACCACACCTATGATCCCAGAGTTACACTTACAGTGGACAATACACTAACAGATGGACAAAGACCATACCTATGATCCCAGAGTTACACTTACAGTGGACAATACACTAACAGATGGACAAAGACCACACCTATGCTGCCAGAGTTACACTTACAGTGGACAATACACTAAAGTTATATATATATCCTTCAGTAAAAGTTCTATTATGTCCTGCATGTACAACATTTGGAGGTGGTTCATACTCTTAAATCTGTTCCGTTACTTACTGGTCTGTGTACGTCGGTTGTTATCTGGTCTCTGCAGCCAACCCCAGATCCTATAAAAGCAGGCAGGGCATCAGCTTTTTCTTTCAACATTCTCCCTCTACCCTTTCCTTTCTTTCTCACAGTTGGTTCATTTGAAGTTATAGGTATGTTTTGTACCTCCTAAACAGCATCAGTGAAATAAGATATACTGTCTCAATCTACAATTGTACAACTGTAGAAATACAAAAACGCCCAATATAAAATCTTTGAACATGAATCATCCTATCAGCTGTTGTCTTTTCTTATTAACAGCTTTACAAATGCATCCCCTAATCCAAAAACAAGATTGGGTCTATTCACTGTAAATATTTGATTTGGTTTGTTTCCCTGTCACAATTACATGTTTTACACACATTAAGCTAGCAACATTAATTGCAACATGCTGCAAAGGACAGACATATACGATTTTTAAATTGCTTGAAAGTACAAGTATCATATTTTGAATCTCCACCACCTCTGACATACACTATAACTTTGACTAAGTTTGTCACTATTTATATTAGTTACTTATATGACACATCAGCTGCTCTGACATACACTATGACTTTGACTAAGTTTGTCACTATTTATATTAGTTACTTATAGGATTTGTGAGGACTTTTATACACTATCTGCATGTTGTTATAAAAAAAAAGTTACTTACAGCTTTCATTGTCATCATCACTATATGATTTATATTGGTTCAAATGTTATTACGGTATGTAGATGAAAAACTGAGAAACAAAGACAACTTTGTTCAAATATATGAACAACATTTTGAACAAAATCAGATGAGTGGACCTAGTTTTACACACATAAATAGGTTTAATACAAGGCATTCGTGGTATCCAGCGTTCCTCATTTGATTTCCCACGACCAGAACATCTACATATGAAAATTTCCTCATCAGATTCATCTTCCTCATGTTCAAACCCAAAGATAACATCTGTGTAAAAGTCGGGATCGTACAGCTGCCATCTCATGCCCATGCTAGTAACACGGCAAGTCTGTAAAGAAAAAAAATATTCACATAAGTTTTAAATATATCTCTAATGACTTTAATCAAGTTAAATGAAAAGCAATATAACTTGATATCAATCAATATCTATAGTTACAGAGCATACATAGTGTATGAGATTTACTCAGTGATTAAATAGTATGATGTATTTCATGGCCTCATGCTATTTCCTTGAACAAATGGTGGCAATATAAAAAGGTTTTGCTGTACATTAACATGTTGTACATTTCAAAAGAAGAGATGACCAGACAGTGTGAAATAGTCAACAGCGTATTGATGTTGGTTATCTAACACTGCCAATAAAAACTTGCCCAAAAACTTTAACCAAGTCCAATTAAGCTGTTTTTTGCACCTAAAATATGAAAATATGATTTAGCACATTGGTAACACTCCATATAAATACTTAAACAACAGTCTTTTGATGTCGGTGGTCCAACATTACAAAAAAAAACAATTGCCCAAAACCTTGATTAACCAAGTCAAGATGGATGTGACATAGAGGTCCGGTGACATTTAATCCCTGACGAAGGGCCATGCCCGGATATTTGGAAAAAGAGTGACTTTTTAGTTTGTTAATTTTACTGCATTCCCTATAGGAACATGTATTTATAGACAATTAACCAAGTCTAATTCAGCTGTTTTTGGCACCTAAAATATGAAAGCATGGTACAGCACATTGCTTACACTCCATATAAATGCCTCAACCTTATAATATCCAACACTGTCTGGCAAAAACTTGCCCAAAAGGTTTACCCTCAGTGAAGTAGGACACTGGGGTGACTACATTAGCCCCCCAATTCTTCAAATAGGCGAGCTAGCAAGACATTGTTCTGGATTTTAGATCAAGTTCAACACCAAAAATAACAGCAACGGTTCAGGACTATAGAATATTATTCAGAGCAAGTTTGATTACCACTGGCCTGGTGAAAGGTGAAAGTGTTAAAGCCAATCAGATCAATTCAGTCAACAAGGAGTTATCTATGATTCTGAATTGGCTCAAAAAATTATAAACACACTTAATTAGGACTTTGAGAGTGAAATTGTAGCAAGTTTTGTTAAAGAAATGTCTCAGCAAATCATAGGCCATACATATATTAAATTTCCAATGAGCCCAAAATATAACTGGTCATGAAGTCGATATATACTTGCCTCCATTTCCCCAGGTTAGGCCAAAATCATCTGCCTCTAGTGGTGCCACACTCTTTGTTTGTGCATGTGATGCCTTAAGGTTAATTTCAAATAAAATGATTTTTTTCCAGCACAAATATGAAAAATCTTCTCTGGCAAGAAAACCATACCTTGTGGGCCTTTTATGTAGAAAATAAACAAAACCTTAAAGAACAAGAGTTTAGTGTGGCTACTGTAGACCAGGATTCAAACTCTGGACTACAGAGTTACTATTGCTCCGACTGTGAGCTATCTCATTAAAGGAAGTGTGTTGGACCAGCTGTGCTAGTTATATCCAAACTCACTCCAATGGATTGCCAGCCTCCTGCAACACCAAAAACAAGAGGGCATGTATAGCTCACCTGGATATTTGAGCAATCATAGGAAAATATTCTCAATTAAAGTACTTTCAAATACTTCCATGTATTGATTCTCTTTGGCTTAAAATGTTCCAGACTGAATGGAACTTTTTATATTACTCTATCCCAGCATACTTCTTGTCAAATATCATCACCAAGGGCCTCCTGATATTGCTAAAGAAGTATTAAGATATTTTCCCCCTGTGACCTTGAAAGTAGGTCGAGATAATTTATTTGGAGAAACTTAATAGCACTCTCTCCCAGGTACCTACTAGCCAAGTATCATAACTCTGGGCCTCCTGGTTATTCTGAAAGAATTGTTTAAAGGTTTTTACATATTTGACCCCTGCGACCTTGAAAGTAGGTCAAGGTAATGTATTTTAGGAAACTTTATAGCACTCTGTGCCATGGACTTATTGGCCAAATTACTGTTACTCTGGACCACCTTGTTATACAGAAGATGTTTAAAGGTTTTTAAACCCATTGTGACCTTGAAAGTAGGTCAAGGTCATTTATTTGAAGACATATTTATAACACTTCATGCCAGGTACCTACTGGCCATTTACCATTACTCTGGGCCTCCTGGTTATTCAGAAAAAGATGTTTAAAGTTGTTTTAACACATTTGGTCCTTGTGACCTTGAAAGTTGGTCAAGGTGATTTATTTGAGGACATTTTATAGCACTACTTACTGGCTAACCTTTTACATGTAGATATTGCCTACAAGGTTATTAATTGTTTTAATTGAGGCATGTTTCCCCTGTGTATGCTCCATATCTGCGACAAGTATTACTATATGAAAAGCCACAATGCAGTGGGACAGGGCTCCTTCAGTCCTGGGGCCTTTGTTAATGTGGAACAGGTGATTTGTCTACTTTTGAATGTAACATTTATGGGTCTAAATACTGGTAGACCTGAAAATGTTTATGCAAGGCTTTGTCAATGTTCCCCTGAAAACAGCATCAGATTACTAGGTTCGACTATATTTCATAAACAAACAACTCTGGTCCAACCTGTTCAACCAGATAAACAGAAGTGGCCTTGAAAACATTTGAACAGGTTGGGCACAACTGTGCATATGGGTAATAATCATGCATTTGGGTAACAGTTACCAATTTGAGTAACAATTCTATTTGGAAATGGGGAATAAAGTGAAACGAAAACACATAAAGGTTCTCTTAAATAATGTGAACAAAAAAAGGGCGTCATTGTTTCAACATAATCCATAAAAAAATACTATCCATCTATCTAGATATTCTGCAACACCCTCTTTCGAGTATTATGTGCAGCAATGAGGTACAATTGTGCACAAAAATATCCTAATTCATTTGTATAAATCATTGTGAAATTGGTAAAATTGATACTCAAATTGGTAAATGTTGCCCAAGTGCAGGATTATTACCAATATGCACAGTTGTGCCCAACCTGTTAACATTGAAACGACTTTCTGGAGGAACCGAAACGTCTTTCTGGAGGAACCGAAACGTCTAAAACAAATTCTCATAAAGTACAGACTTGTTTTTTTTTAATTCTCATTTTACTAAGAACTGCTAAGGTATAGGCTTACAGTACAGGTTACTGTAGAATAACAGACTCGTTACTGGAGCGAAAATCGTTTCAAAATCATTTACAGATGTCAAACAGTCAGGTGAAAGTCATGGAGAAGGTAAATTGTACCTTGGAAAAATACCTGATACCAAGCCGTGTGTTAAGTATGGTAATATTACATATCTAATCGTCCCTTTTCCATTACCTATGATGTAAGCTAACAAACAGCAGCAGACAAGGCTTCGGTTTTCACAGCCATCAGTCTCTAATCATTTCATTTGTTAAAAACATTTTCATTGGTCAATTTTCACCAATTGAACCAACCAGAAACTATGTTTCTTGTGTCTATTTTGGCCGATTTCGATTGTAGCGTTTCACGTTAACCCCGATTAAACATGCATTTTTCGTTTATGAACTAGTCTAGGAACTCATAAAACTGATTTTGATTTTCACCAACTTTTGACAAAGACTGTCGAGACTTACTTTACCTGATTTTTGCGGGTCCGTTAAGGCTTTTGCTGAAGATGATTATGTAGTAGACGAGCCCGTATATGTCCGCGTAAACGAACAGGCCCCGGTCTACGGGCAAAGGGATGTTACTCTAGCTATTTTGCAGCATTAATGTACAGTAGACAGGTAGATACAACGTCTATCAGATATGTCCATGCCACCAAGACGACAAACCATACGACCTCCAGACAAGGGAAGCTTTCCTCTCGATCGTGAAGGTGAAACAAAAGATAAATTCTGTATACATTCTGTAATATGTTTCTTTCAATTCCGAGCATCGGTGATAGGGTAATATTCGGTTAAACCACAGGTGCTCGGGTTCTGGAATATATGTGATATAATCGCACCCCCTAGATATCGCATCCCCTTATACTAATAAATCATATTTAGTGGGTGCGATTAGATCACATATATTCCAGAACCCGAGCACCTGTGGGTTAAACAGGTTGGGCACAACGGCGCATATGGGTAATAATCCTGCATTTGGGTAACATCTTTGTATGTTATGGTTGCATGCACTTCGAATCTTCTTTCACTATCCTATATAAAAAATCAAAATTTTGTACTTCACTATCTTTATTAAAAATTGCTATTTATATGGTTATTATAAACAACTTTTGGTTGAACGATTTTTCGTGTTTTGACATTTTCGTGATTTTAGATGTCCCGACTTTTCTAAGGCTTCAAAGGTCGTGAAATACTTTCAAAACCAAAAACTGTTCAACCAAAAGCTGTTTGTAATAACCAATAGATATGGCGATTTTCAATAACGTAAGTGAACTACAAAATTTTGATTTTTTATATAGGATAGTGAAAGTAGATTTGAAGTGCATTCAACCATAACATACAAAGATGTTACCCAAATGCGGGATTATTACCCATATGCGCCGTTGTGCCCAACCTGTTAAAAAAAAGCTCATTACTACAGTAAGAGCTTATGTTTGTAGTTTGTAACTATACCGAATTAAAATAAAACTTTCATATAATAGGACGATGAATAGTGACAAAGATAGTGCCATTGCTAGGGCTCGAACCCGCGACCCTTACAAGATACAAGAAACTTTATTTAACGTTGCATATATCAAACAGAGCAATATTAGCGCTGTAGCGCTATTTTTGCGACACGCATGATAAAAGCAAACAGAAAACAACAAAACAAGCTATACACTATCACAGAAAGCTAGCACATAATCAGCGAGTAAAACATACAATAACATAGCAGCATACAATAACATAGCAGCATATCTCTGGATAACACAGCTGGCACTAAATTTAAAGTACTATACTAAAAAGATGTAAAGAGATAATAGTGAACACCAGCATATCACACAGGTGTTGCTATATATTGTAGGGTTAAACCACTTCAAGTGTAATGTACATACATGCTAATATAGCAAAAGAGTAAAAATTGACACAATATACACTAATATGGTGTAAATTAAAATAGGTCTAGTAAGTGAAAGATATTGAGCTATAATGATGATGAGAAGAGAGGGCTAGAAACTATGCTACCAGTTATTGGTATATAAAACTGCCATGCAAAGCAGAAGTTAAACTAAATAGGTAGGTAAATACATAGATAAATAAAGCAGGTAACTAGTAATAAAGAAAAACACTGAAAAACATTAAAACTCTAAACACTGGTACAGATACAACATGAGCAAACAGGGCCATCCCAGGAGTGCAGCAGTCTGGCAAACTCTGGATAACTATCCACCTTCCTCAAATGGTTTGGCAGATTGTTCCACACCTGGGCGGCCTCATATCGAAAAGACTTCAGTCCATACCTGGTTGTTCTTACTCTTGATAGCTTAATTCCTGAGGTTATAAAGAGAGGATTTCAAGGTTAAAAGATTGCATAAATAATCCAGAGCTACATTGGTAATAATTTTCTTGTATCTTCTCCATCTTCCTTGTGGAACTTAAACTGCAGAAATGCCATGCCAGGGGACAATAATCAAAATTTGAAAGAATAGAATATTTAAAAATCAAAATGTTCTCCTGCTTGCTTAGATTGCAGCCAATTCGTTTTAAAACAAATATAACTGTTTGGATGCTTTCTTGCAAATGTTTAACACATGAAAGCCAAAAGTTAACAACATTTTCACATTTTATAACATGGTCTTTAACAATATAGGAAGATATAATATTGTGAGTTTTCTTTCCAATGGATATAGCCTGAAATTTGTCAGGATTGGCCTTCATACCATTATCCTCGAACCATTTAATTAAAATATTACTCTCCTCTTCAAGTGTATTCTTTAATTGAACAGGGTCAGAGTCAATATGGGACAGTATGTTATCATCAGCATAATTATAGAGGGTACCCTTATGAACATAATGAAAAATGTCATTTATAAAAATATTAAAAATTAAAGGTCCTAAAATAGATCCCTGAGGTACCGCTCATGTAAAATTCTTTCAAAAATCTTTGAAGTAGATGGTAAAATACTGACAGGTCTGTAATTCTGTTTGTCAAGTGGATCCTTCTATTTAAAAATTGGAACAACCTGTGCCAGCTTTAAATTATGAGGAAAAGACTTGGTTTCAAGGCAATGATTAATTAAAGTGGCAAAGGTAGAGCTTAAGGAAGAAGAACCTGCCTTAAGAACCTTAGCAGGTATACCATCAAAACCTACAGACTTTTTACCATCAAACTTACAGATAATCTTTGATACAGTTTCTGCTTTAAGGACTTCCCGCCCTTCGTAATACACATGTTTTTATTGTCGTATTTTCTTGTCGTCATTTCCGTTTTGCGTATCGGGCATTCCATTACCGTAGTGTAAATTATAGTAACACCGGGTAAACAATAGTACACGTGCGTGACGATATGTCAACACCCGATATCGAGACTTACTAATAACTTGGAAATCATGTGTAATCACACGTACTTCAGAAATAAAGCTTATGATACAAAGATATTAATTAACTCCCAGGAAAACACTGACGTACGATCAGGCGACTTCAAGAAGGTCGTATACGAGGCACATGGAATGCAGACTGATGTGTTTTGTTTACCGACCTCAATCACATGCTAACAGTAGTTCACAAGCTCTTGGTCGCTACGACTTTTGTTGTCGAGCAGCGAGTTACACTTTGTCAGATAAATCGGTTCACAAATGACATTACAATAACTCTGTGAAAATAGTGGTTTGTAAAATATCAAGATCCCTATAAAATGCAAGTGCATGTGCATGCACGTAATAACGGCATACCATGCGTTAGCCTACGGTTACATATTATGTTAATATACCATGCGTAAGCGGGCTATGGAACGATGTCCAAAGTGTACATGATTGAGAGTAATTTTGTTCCATAAAAGAACAGTAAATTGACAATTAAACATAGTAATTTAATTTATTTCCGTCGTATTTGGTATAGTAAATAAAATAAGTGTCATTGTATAAATTCTATCCCTCTGCAAAAAGTTCCATTTTTTTTCAAGGTAGACAACTCTCATCAGGATCAAAATTATTGTAAAATGTAAAATAGATGAATTATAAAGACTTTGTGTGTATTTGGTTCAATTTTTCACTTTTTTTGTATGAAACTATGTATCCTGTTTGCTCTTAGATTGTATTTAGTAACTTTTATCCATACAATTTCAATAAAAAACGCTTTTTGTAACATTTTGTAGATATTTTATGATAAATAAAATATTTGTAGGGTTGATTAGCAATGTTTCTTTTCATTATTTTATTGTTGTAATAGTTTTGAATAATGCCACACGCTCAAAAAATGTGAAAGTGTTGAATTTGACAAAAATTCAATTTTTCAGTATTTTTTATAAAAAAAGTCCCCAGTTACTTGAAATGCTTATATTTTCATAAAATAATCTCTACTTAGTGACATAACCATTATGTGAAACTTTCATTGAATTCTGCTGGCTAATTGCGAAAGGGTGGAGCCTCCTTAAGGTAATATTTTTGTGTCACCATTTCTCAGTAGAATTTCTTTAAATGTAGTTATATTGCTTTGAAGTTAAGAAAACTTGATGCCACTGAAAAAATATAGGTTGTCAGAATTTTAAGGATTTGAAATGGAAATTTATGTAAAAAGAAGTGAATTTTGAAAAAAGAAAAAAGGAAAGACACAGTTCTTTTACAATAGAATGTCAATAAAAGTGATACTGACATAGATTAGTATTGCATTTAAGTATATCAATTTAATTAATGCTGAAATTGTGTAAAATAAATTATCTATAAATGATTAAGAATTGACATTTTATAATAAAACCATATACACATAGTAATTGCATGTATGAGTTATCTTTCTTGATAAACTTCAAAATAGTAAAATAGGTATATGGGTGTCCATCACCTCACGCAATAAATACTGCCCAATAAATATCATCCAAGTCATCAAAGATAAAAGATACATGAAAAGGTGTAAAAGGTAAATCACTGTTAAAAGAACTCTCATCAGAATTTTTAAAGCTTCTGAATTTGACCTTTTGTTGTTTGACCTTTGGTACTGCACCCTTAATTACAGTTTCAATAATGTTGTGCCAATCACTTGTACCACAATTAAAATTAAAAGTATTAAAACAAAAATTTGAACTATTGGTAAGAATAACATCTAGAGAAGGTGCATGTTGCAGTTTTCACAAGATTAGTTAGGTCAAAAATATCAAACAGATCATTTATAGGTCTACCTCTAGAGGGTTGTAGTACATCACAATTTAAATCTCCTAAAATCAAAAGTTTGTCAAATTTGGTGGAGATTTTGTCGAGACCTAATGTCAGGTAATGTCAATAAAAACATCATCCTTAACAGACGGGGGTTTGTAGGAACCTACAATAGCCCATTTTCTGTTCATCACAGTACATTCAACAACCAGGGACTCCGTATAATTGAATTCAAGGGCAGCCCTACGTCGAGCTGGTAAATCAGTCCATACATAAGCCAGAAACCTGCCTCCATGAGCGTTTCTGTCTTTATGAAAGCATCTGTATCCCTTGATGTCAAAACTGTTTTGTAAGAAAGTATCATCTAGTTTGGTCTCTCCTATAAACAGCAAATCACACAGATAATCGTTAAAAATACCTGTTATGTCCACGAACTTGGCTATCCAGCCCGATGCTCTACTGCTGAGCTAAAGGGAAATTCCCTACAGCTGATGCTTGTAAGGCAACCCAGGGAATTAATTCACATCTTTTACAATAGGGAGGGGGACGATTCACTCATGGTTTCGTTGCCAGCGGACACAATCAACATCGTTATTCGTGATTTTAAATTGCTTGTAGTGACTAAATTTACTGCTGTTTCGTCTAAAATTTTCCATTCGTTGATTGGCCCTGGAAAACCATATTTGTAATATGAAATATGTGCTTTCAGACGCGAACGCTTTAATAAAATTATACTGTATACATTTTAATTTATTGAATAAAATAGTGTAACCCCCTGATAATAGTTGTGAAAATACTAGATCAAAATATTGCTTAGGTTGTCGTTAAGCTAATTAGACATACCAGGGTTGACTCTGAGTCACTGAGTTCAGGCCCCTCATTTGGGGACTCCATACATATGTCACAATATCAATGGTAACAGTCCTTAGGACTTACTCACGTTGTCCCTAAATCATAAATTGTAAGCCGTTGAGATACCAATCACATATATTGCTGTATATCTACTAACTATAGGCTACATACATATATATACATGTATGTGATGATTTTTACTTTTTTTATCATTGTAGGTGAATGTACATCTAAAATGTCAAAGTACATGACATGTTTAAAACAACACAAGCAAGACAATGATAAGTGCCGGCTTCCAGCTAAAGACTATCTTGAATGCAGAATGAACAAGTAAGTGCATTAGTAGAGCCTTCCCTGTAACCATTAAACTACCTAAGTGTAGGCTATGAGTCTGTCACAATAGCAATAAAAGTACATTAAAACATTTTATTTGCAACCTTGTTTAGTACCAACATATTTCAGTGTCCTTTTTCTTGTTTTCTTAAAAATTCCTTGATAAATTTTCCTCAATTTATCGTAAAACACCTTCATAACACCACATTTTCTCTTGGCAAATGGTGGCTGTATAGCAAGGTTTCACTTTTTATTTCACCCTTACAACAAGTATAGACTAAGCCCAATTTTCTTCTGGCCTTGACTCCAGACTTAGACATTTTGACAGATAAATGTCTGGTAAAGGGGGCCCCATACACCAGACATCTATATCTATCTGTCAAAATGTCAAAGTCTGGTGTCGGGGCCAGAGAAAACTCGGGCTAGTAAAGACTGTCAGTCTCACCATTACAACAATAAAGACTGTCAGTGTGTCACCATTACAACAAGTAGAGACTGTCAGTGTGTCACCATTACAACAAGTATAGACTGTCAGTCTCACCATTACAACAAGTATAGACTGTCAGTGTGTCACCATTACAACAAGTATAGACTGTCAGTGTGTCACCATTACAACAAGTATAGACTGTCAGTGTGTCACCATTACAACAAGTATAGACTGTCAGTGTGTCACCATTACAACAAGTATAGACTGTCAGTGTGTCACCATTACAACAAGTATAGACTGTCAGTGTGTCACCATTACAACAAGTATAGACTGTCAGTGTGTCACCATTACAACAAGTATAGACTGTCAGTGTGTCACCATTACAACAAGTATAGACTGTCAGTGTGTCACCATTACAACAAGTATAGACTGTCAGTGTGTCACCATTACAACAAGTATAGACTGTCAGTGTGTCACCATTACAACAAGTATAGACTGTCAGTGTGTCACCATTACAACAAGTATAGACTGTCAGTGTGTCACCATTACAACAAGTATAGACTGTCAGTGTGTCACCATTACAACAAGTATAGACTGTCAGTGTGTCACCATTACAACAAGTATAGACTGTCAGTGTGTCACCATTACAACAAGTATAGACTGTCAGTGTGTCACCATTACAACAAGTATAGACTGTCAGTGTGTCACCATTACAACAAGTATAGACTGTCAGTGTGTCACCATTACAACAAGTATAGACTGTCAGTGTGTCACCATTACAACAAGTATAGACTGTCAGTGTGTCACCATTACAACAAGTATAGACTGTCAGTGTGTCACCATTACAACAAGTATAGACTGTCAGTGTGTCACCATTACAACAAGTATAGACTGTCAGTGTGTCACCATTACAACAAGTATAGACTGTCAGTGTGTCACCATTACAACAAGTATAGACTGTCAGTGTGTCACCATTACAACAAGTATAGACTGTCAGTGTGTCACCATTACAACAAGTATAGACTGTCAGTGTGTCACCATTACAACAAGTATAGACTGTCAGTGTGTCACCATTACAACAAGTATAGACTGTCAGTGTGTCACCATTACAACAAGTATAGACTGTCAGTGTGTCACCATTACAACAAGTATAGACTGTCAGTGTGTCACCATTACAACAAGTATAGACTGTCAGTGTGTCACCATTACAACAAGTATAGACTGTCAGTGTGTCACCATTACAACAAGTATAGACTGTCAGTGTGTCACCATTACAACAAGTATAGACTGTCAGTGTGTCACCATTACAACAAGTATAGACTGTCAGTGTGTCACCATTACAACAAGTATAGACTGTCAGTGTGTCACCATTACAACAAGTATAGACTGTCAGTGTGTCACCATTACAACAAGTATAGACTGTCAGTGTGTCACCATTACAACAAGTATAGACTGTCAGTGTGTCACCATTACAACAAGTATAGACTGTCAGTGTGTCACCATTACAACAAGTATAGACTGTCAGTGTGTCACCATTACAACAAGTATAGACTGTCAGTGTGTCACCATTACAACAAGTATAGACTGTCAGTGTGTCACCATTACAACAAGTATAGACTGTCAGTGTGTCACCATTACAACAAGTATAGACTGTCAGTGTGTCACCATTACAACAAGTATAGACTGTCAGTGTGTCACCATTACAACAAGTATAGACTGTCAGTGTGTCACCATTACAACAAGTATAGACTGTCAGTGTGTCACCATTACAACAAGTATAGACTGTCAGTGTGTCACCATTACAACAAGTATAGACTGTCAGTGTGTCACCATTACAACAAGTATAGACTGTCAGTGTGTCACCATTACAACAAGTATAGACTGTCAGTGTGTCACCATTACAACAAGTATAGACTGTCAGTGTGTCACCATTACAACAAGTATAGACTGTCAGTGTGTCACCATTACAACAAGTATAGACTGTCAGTGTGTCACCATTACAACAAGTATAGACTGTCAGTGTGTCACCATTACAACAAGTATAGACTGTCAGTGTGTCACCATTACAACAAGTATAGACTGTCAGTGTGTCACCATTACAACAAGTATAGACTGTCAGTGTGTCACCATTACAACAAGTATAGACTGTCAGTGTGTCACCATTACAACAAGTATAGACTGTCAGTGTGTCACCATTACAACAAGTATAGACTGTCAGTGTGTCACCATTACAACAAGTATAGACTGTCAGTGTGTCACCATTACAACAAGTATAGACTGTCAGTGTGTCACCATTACAACAAGTATAGACTGTCAGTGTGTCACCATTACAACAAGTATAGACTGTCAGTGTGTCACCATTACAACAAGTATAGACTGTCAGTGTGTCACCATTACAACAAGTATAGACTGTCAGTGTGTCACCATTACAACAAGTATAGACTGTCAGTGTGTCACCATTACAACAAGTATAGACTGTCAGTGTGTCACCATTACAACAAGTATAGACTGTCAGTGTGTCACCATTACAACAAGTATAGACTGTCAGTGTGTCACCATTACAACAAGTATAGACTGTCAGTGTGTCACCATTACAACAAGTATAGACTGTCAGTGTGTCACCATTACAACAAGTATAGACTGTCAGTGTGTCACCATTACAACAAGTATAGACTGTCAGTGTGTCACCATTACAACAAGTATAGACTGTCAGTGTGTCACCATTACAACAAGTATAGACTGTCAGTGTGTCACCATTACAACAAGTATAGACTGTCAGTGTGTCACCATTACAACAAGTATAGACTGTCAGTGTGTCACCATTACAACAAGTATAGACTGTCAGTGTGTCACCATTACAACAAGTATAGACTGTCAGTGTGTCACCATTACAACAAGTATAGACTGTCAGTGTGTCACCATTACAACAAGTATAGACTGTCAGTGTGTCACCATTACAACAAGTATAGACTGTCAGTGTGTCACCATTACAACAAGTATAGACTGTCAGTGTGTCACCATTACAACAAGTATAGACTGTCAGTGTGTCACCATTACAACAAGTATAGACTGTCAGTGTGTCACCATTACAACAAGTATAGACTGTCAGTGTGTCACCATTACAACAAGTATAGACTGTCAGTGTGTCACCATTACAACAAGTATAGACTGTCAGTGTGTCACCATTACAACAAGTATAGACTGTCAGTGTGTCACCATTACAACAAGTATAGACTGTCAGTGTGTCACCATTACAACAAGTATAGACTGTCAGTGTGTCACCATTACAACAAGTATAGACTGTCAGTGTGTCACCATTACAACAAGTATAGACTGTCAGTGTGTCACCATTACAACAAGTATAGACTGTCAGTGTGTCACCATTACAACAAGTATAGACTGTCAGTGTGTCACCATTACAACAAGTATAGACTGTCAGTGTGTCACCATTACAACAAGTATAGACTGTCAGTGTGTCACCATTACAACAAGTATAGACTGTCAGTGTGTCACCATTACAACAAGTATAGACTGTCAGTGTGTCACCATTACAACAAGTATAGACTGTCAGTGTGTCACCATTACAACAAGTATAGACTGTCAGTGTGTCACCATTACAACAAGTATAGACTGTCAGTGTGTCACCATTACAACAAGTATAGACTGTCAGTGTGTCACCATTACAACAAGTATAGACTGTCAGTGTGTCACCATTACAACAAGTATAGACTGTCAGTGTGTCACCATTACAACAAGTATAGACTGTCAGTGTGTCACCATTACAACAAGTATAGACTGTCAGTGTGTCACCATTACAACAAGTATAGACTGTCAGTGTGTCACCATTACAACAAGTATAGACTGTCAGTGTGTCACCATTACAACAAGTATAGACTGTCAGTGTGTCACCATTACAACAAGTATAGACTGTCAGTGTGTCACCATTACAACAAGTATAGACTGTCAGTGTGTCACCATTACAACAAGTATAGACTGTCAGTGTGTCACCATTACAACAAGTATAGACTGTCAGTGTGTCACCATTACAACAAGTATAGACTGTCAGTGTGTCACCATTACAACAAGTATAGACTGTCAGTGTGTCACCATTACAACAAGTATAGACTGTCAGTGTGTCACCATTACAACAAGTATAGACTGTCAGTGTGTCACCATTACAACAAGTATAGACTGTCAGTGTGTCACCATTACAACAAGTATAGACTGTCAGTGTGTCACCATTACAACAAGTATAGACTGTCAGTGTGTCACCATTACAACAAGTATAGACTGTCAGTGTGTCACCATTACAACAAGTATAGACTGTCAGTGTGTCACCATTACAACAAGTATAGACTGTCAGTGTGTCACCATTACAACAAGTATAGACTGTCAGTGTGTCACCATTACAACAAGTATAGACTGTCAGTGTGTCACCATTACAACAAGTATAGACTGTCAGTGTCTCACCATTACAACAAGTATAGACTGTCAGTGTGTCACCATTACAACAAGTATAGACTGTCAGTGTGTCACCATTACAACAAGTATAGACTGTCAGTGTGTCACCATTACAACAAGTATAGACTGTCAGTGTGTCACCATTACAACAAGTATAGACTGTCAGTGTGTCACCATTACAACAAGTATAGACTGTCAGTGTGTCACCATTACAACAAGTATAGACTGTCAGTGTGTCACCATTACAACAAGTATAGACTGTCAGTGTGTCACCATTACAACAAGTATAGACTGTCAGTGTGTCACCATTACAACAAGTATAGACTGTCAGTGTGTCACCATTACAACAAGTATAGACTGTCAGTGTGTCACCATTACAACAAGTATAGACTGTCAGTGTCTCACCATTACAACAAGTATAGACTGTCAGTGTGTCACCATTACAACAAGTATAGACTGTCAGTGTGTCACCATTACAACAAGTATAGACTGTCAGTCTCACCATTACAACAAGTATAGACTGTCAGTGTGTCACCATTACAACAAGTATAGACTGTCAGTGTGTCACCATTACAACAAGTATAGACTGTCAGTGTGTCACCATTACAACAAGTATAGACTGTCAGTGTGTCACCATTACAACAAGTATAGACTGTCAGTGTGTCACCATTACAACAAGTATAGACTGTCAGTGTGTCACCATTACAACAAGTATAGACTGTCAGTGTGTCACCATTACAACAAGTATAGACTGTCAGTGTGTCACCATTACAACAAGTATAGACTGTCAGTGTGTCACCATTACAACAAGTATAGACTGTCAGTGTGTCACCATTACAACAAGTATAGACTGTCAGTGTGTCACCATTACAACAAGTATAGACTGTCAGTGTGTCACCATTACAACAAGTATAGACTGTCAGTGTGTCACCATTACAACAAGTATAGACTGTCAGTGTGTCACCATTACAACAAGTATAGACTGTCAGTGTGTCACCATTACAACAAGTATAGACTGTCAGTGTGTCACCATTACAACAAGTATAGACTGTCAGTGTGTCACCATTACAACAAGTATAGACTGTCAGTGTGTCACCATTACAACAAGTATAGACTGTCAGTGTGTCACCATTACAACAAGTATAGACTGTCAGTGTGTCACCATTACAACAAGTATAGACTGTCAGTGTGTCACCATTACAACAAGTATAGACTGTCAGTGTGTCACCATTACAACAAGTATAGACTGTCAGTGTGTCACCATTACAACAAGTATAGACTGTCAGTGTGTCACCATTACAACAAGTATAGACTGTCAGTGTGTCACCATTACAACAAGTATAGACTGTCAGTGTGTCACCATTACAACAAGTATAGACTGTCAGTGTGTCACCATTACAACAAGTATAGACTGTCAGTGTGTCACCATTACAACAAGTATAGACTGTCAGTGTGTCACCATTACAACAAGTATAGACTGTCAGTGTGTCACCATTACAACAAGTATAGACTGTCAGTGTGTCACCATTACAACAAGTATAGACTGTCAGTGTGTCACCATTACAACAAGTATAGACTGTCAGTGTGTCACCATTACAACAAGTATAGACTGTCAGTGTGTCACCATTACAACAAGTATAGACTGTCAGTGTGTCACCATTACAACAAGTATAGACTGTCAGTGTGTCACCATTACAACAAGTATAGACTGTCAGTGTGTCACCATTACAACAAGTATAGACTGTCAGTGTGTCACCATTACAACAAGTATAGACTGTCAGTGTGTCACCATTACAACAAGTATAGACTGTCAGTGTGTCACCATTACAACAAGTATAGACTGTCAGTGTGTCACCATTACAACAAGTATAGACTGTCAGTGTGTCACCATTACAACAAGTATAGACTGTCAGTGTGTCACCATTACAACAAGTATAGACTGTCAGTGTGTCACCATTACAACAAGTATAGACTGTCAGTGTGTCACCATTACAACAAGTATAGACTGTCAGTGTGTCACCATTACAACAAGTATAGACTGTCAGTGTGTCACCATTACAACAAGTATAGACTGTCAGTGTGTCACCATTACAACAAGTATAGACTGTCAGTGTGTCACCATTACAACAAGTATAGACTGTCAGTGTGTCACCATTACAACAAGTATAGACTGTCAGTGTGTCACCATTACAACAAGTATAGACTGTCAGTGTGTCACCATTACAACAAGTATAGACTGTCAGTGTCTCACCATTACAACAAGTATAGACTGTCAGTCTCACCATTACAACAAGTATAGACTGTCAGTCTCACCATTACAACAAGTATAGACTGTCAGTCTCACCATTACAACAAGTATAGACTGTCAGTCTCACCATTACAACAAGTATAGACTGTCAGTCTCACCATTACAACAAGTATAGACTGTCAGTCTCACCATTACAACAAGTATAGACTGTCAGTCTCACCATTACAACAAGTATAGACTGTCAGTCTGCCACCATTACAACAAGTATAGACTGTCAGAGTGTCACCATTACAACATGTATAGACTGTCAGTCTCACCATTACAACAAGTATAGACTGTTAGTGTGTCACCATTACAACAAGTATAGACTCAGTCTGTCACCATTACAACAAGTATAGACTGTCAGTCTCACCATTGCAACAAGTATAGACTGTCAGTCTCACCATTACAACATGTATAGACTGTCAGTCTCACCATTACAACAAGTATAGACTGTCAGTCTCACCATTACAACAAGTATAGACTGTCAGTGTGTCACCATTACAAAAAGTTATGTATTTTTGTTAATAAGTTTTCCATTAATTTTTTTCTTTTTTCTTTTTTCCTTCAGTAATCTCATGGCGAAAGAAAGTTGGTCCAAACTGGGATATAAAGATTTGGTCGACACACCAACAGTAGAAGTGTCTGGAAAATCATGACTAAAGATCATGTTTTATTTATTTTAAATCTTTCATGTTCACGTATTCTCGACTAAAGACATTTAAAAATGCTGCTTATGGAAAATATGTCATAGATACAAATGTGTACTAGATCCTTTGTTAATTATCAAGTTATTGATCATAAATTATCAATTCAGTCATGCATTTATAAATGTGTGTGTATGTATGATAAAAATCATGTCTGTAAATAGTCAAAACTTCCACAGTAATGTCATAAGATTTGTACATGTTTGAACAAGTACGTTGTGAAAGTGTTAAATCGTGGCATTCTGTTGTAAATCTATAGAGTTGTCCCTTATTTATAGATAAGTCTGGACACCAGTGTATTCAGTGTATTCAGTCATATTTTTGTTGTGATTTATATATTTATTGATATTTTGAACAATGTCCATATCTAATAAAAGGATACACAATATACACAGTGTCTGTTCACGAATTAAATATTCCGTCTTTGTGTATTGCAGAGTTATCTTCTCTTGTGAGCANCTGTCTCACCATTACAACAAGTATAGACTGTCAGTGTGTCACCATTACAAAAAGTTATGTATTTTTGTTAATAAGTTTTCCATTAATTTTTTTCTTTTTTCTTTTTTCCTTCAGTAATCTCATGGCGAAAGAAAGTTGGTCCAAACTGGGATATAAAGATTTGGTCGACACACCAACAGTAGAAGTGTCTGGAAAATCATGACTAAAGATCATGTTTTATTTATTTTAAATCTTTCATGTTCACGTATTCTCGACTAAAGACATTTAAAAATGCTGCTTATGGAAAATATGTCATAGATACAAATGTGTACTAGATCCTTTGTTAATTATCAAGTTATTGATCATAAATTATCAATTCAGTCATGCATTTATAAATGTGTGTGTATGTATGATAAAAATCATGTCTGTAAATAGTCAAAACTTCCACAGTAATGTCATAAGATTTGTACATGTTTGAACAAGTACGTTGTGAAAGTGTTAAATCGTGGCATTCTGTTGTAAATCTATAGAGTTGTCCCTTATTTATAGATAAGTCTGGACACCAGTGTATTCAGTGTATTCAGTCATATTTTTGTTGTGATTTATATATTTATTGATATTTTGAACAATGTCCATATCTAATAAAAGGATACACAATATACACAGTGTCTGTTCACGAATTAAATATTCCGTCTTTGTGTATTGCAGAGTTATCTTCTCTTGTGAGCAGATATTGTTGTTGTTACATCATTGGTTTGTGCGAGAAAATTGCGTCGTTTTCTCAAAAATTGAGGACGTTACTCTCACAAACAAATGACATAACAATCAATACCTGCTCACAAGAGCAGATAACACTGCAATACGAAAAGACGGAATATGAACCATTTTATTAAACCAAATCTCTGATTTGTTTTGAATGACAGCTGAAATTACTTAACTTGGACGCAGAACTTCACAGAACATTCACTAGCAGACGTTGGATCTCATTTCCCTTGTATTTAAACTTGGATAGTAAGGTCGTAGATCACACACGAGTTGTTAGTTTTCACACTTCTAAGAAATCAAATGGGGGGAAATTGTGTGAAGGAAATCTTTATTGACATTTGATATTTGCCAATCCACAACATGAAACATACATTTTCTGTATATCAGTAGAAAATAAATACAACAAAAAATTCAAACAAACAACCAAACAGCAGTTTGATAATTGATTAAAGTTAATATAATATGCGTATTAGACAATTTGAAAATTACGACAAGAAGAAGCAATGAGCAGGATCTAAAGTAATTAAATGAAAACACACAAGCAATTAGGATTATAATCAAGCAGTAATGATGCCTACACACGGGAACCTAGCATAACGTGGAAACAGTTATAACAGTCCAACTGTAAACTAACAACTTATTGAACTATCACAATAGGATCTTATAACATTAAAAATCTTTGGAACAATATTAATTCTTTCCGGAATAAGATTCATCAGTTTGGTTTGAATAATAAAGGCTAAAGTTGTTTTGAACACAAACAGCTTTCAAAAACATCAGATGGACGGGTAACATGTTAGGCAAGTTTGCAGTTCCTGTTTGTGTGCAACACATACTTAGCCTTTACTTTTGATACTATATATATATAAAAATAAAAATATATAGTTTCATCTCACACATGTAATACTGTATACCACATTGCTTCAGTTTTGATTACAATAGTAGGAAGATAAATGGTAGTTACCAAATGTCCGTGCTGGAAGTATTATAAGCAGCACTGAGAGAAAGAGTGAGGGAAGAGCTAGGGGAATGGTGGAGATCAGGTATGAAGGAGACACAAAAGGCTGGATAAAGGACTCGCAACTAAATCAGCCGATCAGCAAGTGGATTGTTATCCCTATCAAAGATTTGTTCCGGGTTAATACAGTGCCTCTGAGGGAAACTCTTCCCATAGCTGGAGAATATATTCTACTAGGCTCTAGAAGTTACATCCCGTGTGTTCCCGTGTTGTAAACTACTTTTAGTCTGATTATTAACAAGTAAAACTTCAATTTTCGTATGAATAATATTATTAAATTTTGCACTTTGCTTAGTAGTTTGTGATTTACATTTTTTTTTTAAATGATTAAAATAAAATAAAATCATTTTAGTGTATGCTACAAGCATACACATGTATGCTACGCCACAGTGAGTAAGTAGCAAAGCAAAATCAACCGTGGGTATATATATGACGGTGCAATCCCCCAATGCACGGCTAACTGGTAAGCGCCATCCTTTATTCCCTTTTGTATTACATGAGTGTGCTTAAGGTAATTGTGTATCCTGCATACAGGAGCGTAACAAACGGGTTTTCAATGTGTAAGCCCAACGATGAAGTGTGCTGCCGAAGGCAACACCCCGAAGCGCGAGGAGGGGGAGGGTATGGGAGGGGGTTTTCCGCCTCCCATTGGTGGGGGTCTCCCCCAGGAGAATTTTGTTTTCTAGAACGCATGAGACGCGTTCTCCCTTGTTCTGGCGTCAGTTTTAATGGCCATTTTAAAGCATGAAAATATCATTTTCCCCTATTATTTTACAAATATTTTGCTTCTTTTTGGGTACGAAGGGATTGGTACACATCTACGCCAGTTCTATTATGGTGTTCGGTAACATTATTCCACGGAAAAGAAAAATCTAAAATTATGTGGATTTTGGGATACTTGTTGTAAGAGTGTGACGTTTCTCCTCGCGACTGTGACTCCGGTTGCGCAGAGATATGAGACTTGTATCACAAGCTAGCAATAGGAATAGTTTAACGCTATGTACATAAGAACCGATATACTGGTTACCATGCCGAACGAATATGCTACCCTCAGTGCTACATTTGTTAGAGACTTTGATTGCAACGAAGCATTTTAGTTGGCGGTCTTTATAGCAGATACAAACCATCTGTCATTGCTTTTTAATATTTTATATCATATAGTCTATGTTGCGTTTATTTTATTTTTATTTTGTCAAAAATGATGTGTAAGCCCGGGCTTTTTTGCTACATAGGTTGTTACGCGCCTGGCATATGGATAATAGTAACAGATTCAGATTGTTTTATTCCCTGTGTAACACACATCGGAGAGTACACATACAAATAGTACAGTATATTACAAATTTACAATGATACAATTTAACAGTTTAACTGGAATCTATTCGGAGAATAGCGGGGCTAATGTAGTCACCCCCGGCGTCGGCGTCGTCCCACTTCACTGAGGTTAAAGTGTTTTTTCCAGACAGCATTAGATCACCACCATCGACACACTGTTGTCTTTTATAAGGTTGAAGTATTTATACGGAGTGTTAGCAATGTGCTGAACCATATTTTCATATTTTAGGGGCCAAAACTGGTAAATTGGACTTGGTTAATGTTATTGGGCAAGTTTGCATGTGCAGTGTTAGATCGGTCACCACCATCAATACGATGCTGACTATTTCACGTTGTCTGGTCATTTCTTCTTTTCAAACGACACAAATGTTTAGGTACAGCAAAACCTTTTTATTTTGCCACCATTTGTTCAAAGAAATATTCGCATTATAAAGGGGTTTGTAAAAATATTGAGGGAAACGTTTCAAGGAATTCAGAAAGAAAAACATAATTAAGGGACTTGAAAATAGGTTGGCGGTAAGCGAGGTGGCAAATGAAATGAGCACTATATCTTTTATTTCATTTCTTTTTATTTCAGAATATTTTATTGTACTGATCTTATGTACAAAAGGAATTGGGCAACAGGCATAGCCTATATAAGCCCTCTCCTTACAAAACATAACAGTATATACATATCATACAAATGTTACTTTTACAGATGTTTCTTTAAGTATTAAAATAAGAGATTATTTGTACTTTGAATTTGATTTGACAATATATATTTCAAATATCACAATTGTTATAAGAGAGATTATTTTACAAAGTTATTTGAGAATCTAATAAAAACGTCTAGTGTCTCTAATGTAATTCTGAACCGTCTCCACAATATTTATATTCATATTTACGTCTCGTGATTGGAAACCATAAATAAAAGTTTGGGTATTGAGTGGAATAGCATCACTCATCGCTGACAGAGAGTTAAGTAATATTAGTCGTTGGTTAGTATAAAAAGGACAGTGCAGGAAAAAATGATCACGATCTTCGAAGGGGGAGCCACATATACAAGCAGGGCTATCATTTAGATGTGCATTAAATAAATCTGAATTTAAATTACTTGCAGAATTTCTTAACTGACATAATGTTATGTTAATTTTTCTATCACCGTGATATTTACAAATGTTACTACATATTGGGTGAACATCATCCATATGGGATGAACGTAAACATTCCTTTTTCAGAGCTCCAAGAGATGTCATAGTGGGAAACAGACAGGCTGGATTGTTCCATTCTGACATCAGTTTTGGAAAATAACTAGAGTTATATAAATGCGTTCTTGGTACTGGAATGTCAAATAACCTATTGTGTCGAAAGTTGTAATGTTCAAAGTTATTAAGAAAGGGCAGTATCAAGTCTGAGACATGAGATGGACAACTGTTATTAAAGAATTTAAAAAATGCAATATTTTGATGTAAATGTCTTCTTTTACTAAGTTTAACAAAGCCAGTCTCTCTATATAAAATGTTATAGCTCGTTCCTCGTCTTAAACCAGAAATAATGCGTGCTGCTTCAAGTTGGATTGACTCTAAGACGTTGCACTCTCTCTGGGAACAGTTAGCCCATACAATATCAGCATATTCGAGGATTGGACGAACATATGATATATATATTGTTTCAAGGGATTTTCTATCAATCTTAAATTTTAACATTCTAAGTATATTCAGTCTTTTATATGCTTTTTCATAAATATATATGAGTTGACCAGTTGGCTTGCCATTGAAAATAAGACCAAGGTGTTTATGATCAATAACGTTATTAATTACTGCATTTTTAAAAAATAGGTTAGGATGCA